CTGGCCCTGGCCTGCCACTTCAGCTCCACCTCTAGAAAACCCGTGAACAAACTTGTCTTCTACCAGCAAGGTCAGAGAAGAGGAAACGTCATGACTACCATGGTCATATGACCAGAAGCGATGGTTCTGTTGCTCTGCCCAACTCTGCTCTTAGAAGCAACCTGGTACTTAGTTTATGTTCAATAAACAGACAGTGAGAGAATGAATCCTCAGGAAGTAATGGGAGATAAGTAAACAGCTTCGCAGTTACTGCTGGGAAGGGATGAGGGGGAGGGAAGAGAGAAAGAGGAAGGAAGGAAGGGAACCATAGCGTAGCCACTCAAATACAGTGGAATCACTTAAAGTAACATTCGCAATTACTTGGGGACATGCTTATGATAGACTGTTAAGTTAAAAATAAAAAATAATACTATTTTTTGCAAGATTGGTGTGGATCACAGATATCTAAATTTTACTACCTACCAGCAATCATTGTTAACTGAATGATGGGAAATTCGCTGTCTCTTTTTTCCTTTTCTCTGATTGTCTCTATTTTCTAAACTGGACTGCTAACCGGAGGGTCAAACTGCAAAGCCGGCAGTTCAAATCCATTAGCCGCTCCCTATACAGGGTCACTATGAGGCGGAACCCACTCGAGGACACTTATTAACAAAGCCTGTTGGTACACGATGTGGTGTCGACGCTGTTAAGGATTCTTTGAGATAAAAATGAGTTGGAACATTTGAAGTTTTACTCCCGAGCTAAAGCTCCCATCTGCAATTTATATTCTCATCACAAAAATTCCAGACCGATTACAGGAAGCCGCCCCATTCTCATCAAAGCACCCTGGGTCTCAGTTTCTGTATCCGGCCAATGGGAATGACAACAGGACGGCAACCAAACGTGGCGCGAAGCTCAGTAAACCTCGTAGGCACTGCGGCAGCACCCAAGCATCAAGTGGCCGGTTAGCTCAGTTGGTTAGAGCGTGGTGCTAATAACGCCAAGGTCGCGGGTTCGATCCCCGTACGGGCCACAGATCCGGACTTTTTCTTTTTTATCGCTATTTAAAAAAATACACCTTTTTAGGGCCGTGAGCATTTACAGTTCTAGACTTGGCTCTGAGGTTGTTCCAGGATGCGCACGCCAGTTTGCACCAAGACTCTTATCACCACGCCCGCAGCTTCCGGAAGGATCTTTTTTAGGATGCAACAGGGTTGAGAAGTAGTTTTAAGTCAGTACAACCCTCCTGACGTTTCTTCAGGGATTTCTGAGGGGCCACATCGGCCCCAATTTTTATTGGGTTTTTAGAGTTGGAAATTTGGGTCTGGAATTAATTAATTCTATAACTATTTATTGAGATCCCCTTGCTCCCATTCCATGGAAGGCACAGAATAGTAAATAAACCCCCACCCATAGTCCTGGTGTGGTGCTGTGGACTAATGCATCAGACTGCAAATTCATTTGAACTGCAACGTCGGTGGTTCAAGCTCACCAGCTGCTCCTTGGAAACCCTATACAGGGTTGCTATGGGTCGGAATCGACTCGACGGCACTTAACAACAAAATGTTTAAGGTCATATTTTGGCTCTTGTGGACTTGTTTTAATATTATTGAGCTTCAGTCTAGACTTGCATGTGAACAATTGATGGTTTGTTCCACAGTCTGCCTCTGGCTTTGTTTTGACTGATGATATGGAGCTTTTCCACCGTCTCTTTCCAAAGATATTGTTAATTTGATTTCTGTGTATTCCATCTGGTGAGGTCCATGTGTATAGTGGTCTTTTATGCTGTTTTAAAAAGGTATTTGCAATGGAAAAAATCATTGGTCTTGCAAAATTTTATCATGTGAACTCCAGCGTTGTTTCTATTACCAAAGCCGTATTTTCCAACGGAAGCCCTTTCTCTTTGTTTCCAACCTTAGTATTCCAATGGCAAGTAGTTATCAACACATCTTGATTGGATAGCTGATCAATTTCAGACTGAAGAAGTTGGTAAAATTCTTCAATTTCATCATCACTGGCTTTAGTGGGTGGTGCATAAATTTGAATAATAGTGGTATTAATTGGTCTTCCCAGTTTGTTGTTAAGTGCTGTAGAGTCAGTTTTAACTCACAGTAACCCTGTTTAGGGTTTCTGATGTGGAGCTAGTGAGCTTGAACTGCTGACTTATGGTTCAAACTGACTTTGCAGTCCAGTGCATAATTAACTCACAGTGCCAAACCAGGACTCCCTGTAGGTGTATGGATATTTTCCTATTACAGACAGCATGGTACTTCAAGACAGATCTTGATATATTCTTTTTGATGATGAATGTGACACCATTTCTCTTCAATTTTTTATTCCTGGCATAGTAAACCATGTAAATAGTCAGATTCAAAATGGCCTCTACTAGTCAATTTCAGCTAACTAATGCTTAGGATATTGATGTTTATGTGTTCCATTTAATTTTTGACAACTTCCAATTTTCCTAGATGCATACTTCATGCATTCCATGTTCTGATTATTAATGGATGTTTGCAGCTGTTTCTTCTCATTTTGAGCTGTGTCCCATCAGCAAATAAAGGTCCCAAAAGCTTTACTCCATTCCCATTGTCATGGGCAACTCTACTTTGAGGAGGCAACTCTTCCCCAATCGTGTGTTGAATGCCTTCCAACCTGAGGTGCTCATCTTCAGACACTATATCTGACAATATTCTGGTGCTCTTCATCATGTTTTAATATTCAATATTCTGGTGCTGACAGTGTTCCACTGCCATTCATAAGATTTCCAGTGACTAAATATTTAGAAGTAATTTGTCTTTCCTTCTTCCTAATCTTTATCTAGAAACTCAGCTGAAACCTGTCCACCGTCGGTGACCCTGTTGGTATTTAAAATACCTTTGGCTATAGCTTCAGCATCCCAGCCACATGCAAACTACCACAGTAGGATAAACTTGACAGACAAGTGCTGGTTCTTGGGCTTAGGGAACAGAGAAAACCTTTTTGAGGCCCGAGGATAGGAGAATGAGAAGGATTTTGTTTCAAAAGTTAAAAAAAAAAAAAGGATAGTGGAAATGGTTGCAGAACTTAAAGAATGCAGTCAGGTTAGTCACTGGATTGTACATGCAGACATTGTTGAGATAGTATGCATTTTGTCATGCGCATTTTCACCACAGTAAAAGAAAGGAGAAAAAACAAAACACAAACACAAACACAACGAGGTTATTGGGGTAGGCCTCGACTCATGACTGGCATTCTTAGAAAAAAAAAGAAAGCGGGGTACACAGGGAAAACCCCATGTAATTACCAGGCAGAGACTGGAGTGATGCATCTACAAGTCGAGCTATGTCTACTTGGACATATGGCAACCCCCAGGAGTTAGGAGGAAGGTATAGAATCAATTCTCCCTTGGAGCCTTTAGAGTGTACTCTCGGTCCCACCTTGATTTCAGGCTTTGGCATTAATAATGTGAGAGAATAAATAAAATCTATTGACTGGTTCCTTTGCTATTATAGACAAATTTATTTTAATAAATTTATACAATTTTATAAATCTGTAGCTTATATCATTATAAATGGAATCCTGGTGTGGCATATTATCCTGTGGGTTAATACGTTGGACTGCAAGGTCGTCTGAACTGCAACATCAGCGGTTCAAGCTCACCAGCCACTCCTTGGAAACCCTATACAGGGTAGCTATGGGTGGCAACCGACTGGTCGGCACTTAACAACAAAAACCATTATCATCATAAATGGGAGCATGGTGGCTCCATAGGATAAGCACTGGATTGTGAAACACAAGGTCAGTGGTTTGAGCCCATTAGCCTCTGAGCTGGAGAAAGATGAGGCTTTCTGTTCCCCCTAAGACATAAAAAGTCTCGGAAACCCTATACAGGGTCGTTTTTAGGCGGAACTGACTTGATGGCACTTAACAACAATCATAAATAAACACATTATATTTATTATTAGGAAGCTCTGGTAGCGTAGTGGTTACGAATCAGGCAGCAGTTCGAAACTACCAGCCGCTCTGCGGGAGAAACACGAGGCTTTCTTCTCCTGTAAAGATTTACAGCCTTGGAAGCACTGTACAGGATCGCTATGCGTCAGAACTGGATGGCACTTAACAACATTTATTATTAGGAGTCCTGGTGTGGCTCTGTGGGTTAATGTGCTGGACTGCAAAGTCAGTTTGAACTTGAAGGTCGATGGTTCAAGCTCACCAGACGCTCCTCAGAAACCCTCCAGAGGGCCCCTATGGGTAGGAACCAACTCGACGGTACTTAACAACGACAATTTATTATTAGAAACAATATAATGCATGTATTTATTAATATTATATTTTAGGTGGTTCTGTAAGATAAGCACAGGGATTCGAGACCACCCTTTGCTCCTGTAGCTCTTCGAAGAAAGACAAGTCTTTCTCCTCCCGCAAAGATGTATTGTTGTTAAATGCCGTCGAGTCGGTTGCGACCCATAGCGACCCTCTAGAGGGTTTCCAAGGAGCGGCTGGTGAGCTTGAACCACGAACCTTGCAGTTCAAACTGACTTTGCAGTCTAGCACATTAACCCACAGCGTCACACCAGGACTCCACAGCCTCGGAAATCCTATACAGGGTCGCTATGAATCATCGGAACCCACTCCATGACACATAACAGTAACAATAACAAATAGTCATTTGTTATGATAGCCTTAGGTTCCATCAGAGATGTATTAAATCAGAAGGTCCCGGGTGTGGTCGGGAATCTACACATCCAGACAGGAGCTCCAGGTGACGCACTGTAACATGGGTCAGTGTGTGAAGTGCGAAGTAGGGGGATCTGGAACTTCGAAGACCTCCACCTGGGAGACCCCATGATAGGCAGTAGAAAAGAAGGCCTGTCCATCCAGCCCTCCCATTACCTCATTAGACCAGGCGAGGTCGCCTTGTGAGGTATCTTGGCCTGTGGGGCTCCCGTAGCCCGCCCCTTTCCCAGGTGACGCATATTCGCGTCGCCGCTACTTGGCGATTCAGTCCTCAGGATTCGAGTCCGCTCGCTTCGGCTGCCATGGCGAACGCGGAGCCGGAGGCTGAGGAGGGCAGTGAGGATGGTAGCGGCTGCCGGGCTCCCCTCAGCCAGAGAGGCAACACTGCACGCGTGGCCCCGCTCGACCCCGAACAGCTGCGGCGGGTCCTGGAACAGGTGTCCAAGGCGCATTCTCCCGCCAAGTCCCCGCTGCCGCCGCCGCCACCACCACCACCCTTCGTGCTGCAGGACGCGGCGAGGCGGCTTCGGGACGCGGCTCAGCAGGCCGCCCTGCAGCGAGGCCCCGGCGCCGAGCTTCCTCGCCCGCCGCGCCTGCTGCCACCCCAGGTGAGACTCCGGGAGGGCTCGGGGAAACTGAGGCCTAAGAGGCCGGTCTCTGCTGGCGGTCGGACCCCACCTGTTAGCGGAGCCATTGCCTGTCTGGGTCCCTGCATGCCGGCCAGTGTGCACTCCCAGGCGGGAGGTGCGCCTGGAACTCAGTCTGCGGCTGCTTTAGGGTGAGGAGTCCCTTAGGCGCGACGCTGGAACTGAGACCCAGATGTAATCTAACGAGCCTTTCAGGTAAAAGACATCCTGGGACTGTGAACAGAATTAAAACATTGTAGCAGGAGCCCTGGCTAATGCGCTGGACTGCAAAGTCGGCTTGAACCACAACGTCAGCGGTTCGAGCTCATCAGCCGCTCCTCGGAAACTCTATATAGGGTCGCTATGGGTCAGAACCGACTCGACGGCACTCAGCAACAACTACATCAGCGGTTTGTTGAGAGTCACAGCGATCTGCAACCCCCACCACCAACCCAGCGTCACTTCTTACTGAGAGAAGTGTGGGAACACTGCCCCATAGTGGAATTGAGTCGTGGGTCACACAGTTCTCAGCCTCTGGGAGAGTTGGACCTAGGACAAGGTCTCCCAAGCCTAGATTTTTACACATCACCTGTAAAATCACAATCCTTTTACATGTTTGGGTTCTTCACCCCCAAACTGACATAGAGACGCTTCTTCCACTAGAAGAAAGAGGGTAAAGAAGAAAATCGAGACCCTTGGTTCTGTAGGTTGGTTGACTGACGGATTTGTGGATGGACCAAAGGATTCTAGAAGTTTAGGCTGTATCTGGATTTCCTTGGTGGTACAAATGGCTAAGCAGTTCGAACCCACTCCGAGGCACCTTAGAAGGAAGATGTGGAAGGTCACAGCCATGAAGCAGTTCTACTCAGCACAGATGGGATCACCAGGGGTCAGAATCGACTTCGTGGCAACTGATATGTGGAGGGTGTAACCAGTTTGTCAACAAGACCGGCAGGTTGTCTCTCCCTAAAGTTTGGGAGGCATTCTGGTGTGGTGATGTAGGATAAATAAATGCAAGTTTGCAAGTTCAGTTTGAGCCACAAGGTTGGCAGTTCAAACTCGCCAGTTGCTCCTTGGAAACCCTTTATTGGAAGATAGGAGTTGGAACTGACTCCACAGCACTTAACAACAAAACAAAGTGTGGGAAGATGAGTGGGATTCTGCCCAGTCAGCCCACCTCTAAGAGGTCTGCACTTGAGTCATTCAGGCTGTTTCGATTTTGGTTTCCTCCTCTGCAGAAGGGCTGCTCGACTGGATGAACTCTGGTTCTTATTCTCTGCTGAGGAACCACCTGCCTCCCCGGCAGGCCCTCAGTATCGATGCAGCGCCCTCCGGAAGAGATCCCAGTGGCTGCCCAATGAGGAGCTTCTCTCACTCTGCCTGGCATCTTGCCGGCCTGCTCATTCATTCTTAGCAGCTACATGAAAAGATTTTTGTTCCAACTTTCATAGATGAGGAACAAGTTCAGAGGCTGAGTGATTTTGCCCAAGGTCCCCTGCTCTCCAGGGCCTGTACACACCCTACACCCTACCATACCCTGCCCAGTGACGCCATGTGGCAGTTTGGTAAAAAGTCCCAAATGGGTAAGTTTCCCATGAAATGAAAGCAAACCTAAGGAGAGGCAGCAGGATGGAATTGTACCCTGTAGTGAACGTAATCGAGATGACAGAAATTCTCCCTGCAGTCTCAATAATGTGGCTCTTTTCAAGCCCATTCAGCTAATACTCTGAGCTGCAGAGGCCACAAAGACAAACGACATGTGCACTTTGTCCTGGATAACATCTAGACAAGGTGAGAAAGCTGCAGATAAAAAGGACAAGATGCATTTAGAGAAAAAGAGTTTTCTTGGCTGAGGAGATAGATCAGAGACTCTGTTGGCGTGGTGGCATCTGAGTAGTCTCGCACATGTTCCCTTTGCACGTGGCCAACATTCTACTCAGTTCTCAACACTCCCTCAAGAGGTTGACTCTTCTAGAAGCCCGCCACCCCTGGACGTTTCCTCTGCCATTGAACCTGCTGGACCATGAGGTCATGCTGTTTGTCTTAGGGAGCCTGTCCATCTTCAGAATCTTGATAGGACTTTTGAGAGTGCATCTCTCGGACGTCACCTGAGGAGGAGGTCCCAGTGTAGCAAGTCTACAGGTGACTGAGGCATGCAGAGAGACCACCGCTTCCTCAAGGATGTGGCTAGCACTGTGTTCACGTGGCTTGTATGGAACACTTTAGTAAAAGTGACTGAAAGAAATAAACATAAAACAGTAACAAATAGAATGGCGATGTTACGTGCCATCCAATTGGTTCCAACTCATAGTGGACCCTGTAGAGGATTTCCAAGGAGGCGACTGGTGAATTTGAACCCCCAACTTTACGCTTCAAACTGGCCTTGTGGTCTAGTGCTTATTCTACAGAGCCACACCAGGACTCCCAACAAGTGTAGCACCAACATGAAAAGCTAGTCTGGAGAGCAGGTAAGCAAATTATTATAAAAAAGAAAATAATAAGCCCACGGCCCTCAAGTTGATCTGGACACAGTGAACCTTTAGGACAGAGTACAGCTGCCCTAGAGGGTTTCTGAAGCTGTAATGGAGCCCTGGTGTGGCGCTGTGGTATAATGCACTGGACCGCAAGGTCGATTTGAACCACAAGGCCAGTGGCTCAAACTCAGCAGTTGCTCTTTGGAAACCCTATGCAGGGTTGCTTTGAGTCGGAATTGACTTGATGGCATGTTACAACAACAATAATCTTTAGAGAGGCAGACCTGGTGGGTTTGAACCACTGGCCTTTGATTTAGTGATCAGTAGTTTAACACACATGCCACCAGGCTCCTCAGACAAGTGCATCACTGTGATAACCCTGAAACCCTGTGTGTTTAATGACATGTGGTGCTGTCCATACAGCACAGAGAAATCGCCCATCTTGGGTCTTTGGGTTAGTGGCGGGGCACTGCATTACACTCTTCTTCATGGGCCTTGACATTCGTTTAAAAATATGCAAACACACATGAAGGTGGCCTCAAAAATTCATGGAAAAGTGGGAATTCAAAGGTAGTGGATTTTTTTTCCATGAACTTTTTGAAGTTCCCTTGTATACCCACACACACACAATTGTAAGTCAAAAACTATTACTACCAAATCATTTTGTTGTTGTTGTTAAGTGTTGTCAAGTCGGTTCTGACTCATAGCAACCCTGTATAGGGTTTCCAGGGAGCAGCTGGTGAATTTGAACTGCCCACCTTGCGATTCAAATCGACTTTGCAGTCCTTGCACATTAGCTCACAGCGCAACACCAGGACTCCGCAAAATCATAATTGTTGTTGTTGATGAGTGCTGTTGACTTGGCTCCGACCCATGGCTACCCTATATAGAGTTTCCAAGGAGAGGCTGGTAAGTTTGAACTGCTGACCTTGAGGCTCAAAGCGACTTTGCAGTCCAGCACATTAACCCACCGTGCCACGCCAGGACTCCACAAAATCATAGAAGCCTTTATTAAACAAAAATACCACAATGTGAAGCTGTTGTTTCTCATCATAACCTCCATTTAGGTCTGTACATTTCTGAAGGCAATGTTTCCATCTCTCTTAACAGAACTGTGTGCTCTTTGATTTCTACCACATCAGAGTAGCAGGTTGGGCATCCTTGGAGGAACTCAGTCGTGTTCGTTTTCAATATTACTTGAGTTCAGAGAGCAAAAAGAAATCTGAAGGAGCAGGATTAGGGCTGTAGGGTGGCTGGGGTCAGGTTTCCCAATGAAATATGTGTAGGACAGACCTTGCTACCCTTGAAGAGTGAGCAGGTGCATTGTGATAGAAAACATTCTTGGGCAACTTTTCTGGCCTTTTCCTCACAGGTGCAGTTTTCAGTTTCCTTTAAAACAACAAAACTTGATTATAAATGGGGTTAAGATTTACAGAATAGATCAGTTTTTCTATCCAACAATTCTGACACATTTTGTTTTGCATCACTGATTGTGGTCCCCATAGAGTAACATCACTTCTATTTCTCCCAGTGGTTCCCGGTTCTATTCCTCCTCCCATTCCACTACGTTCCCTCAAGTGTTCAGATTGCTTAAACTTATTCATAATAAGCCCCCATGACTCTTCTGTGTCTTTCAAGAAAATCTGTCAAGATCACCTTTTTGACATCCCCAGAACTATTGCCGTAACCTGAGCTGACCTGTCTGCTGTGAATGGAATAGGCCCAGCCCCTCCCCTCAGAAACTACTGCTTTGATTTGAGCTTTTTTAAAAGCCCCCTAATAGGACCCCATGGCACACAACAACAACAATAGGACTGAGACAGGTGTATTACTGAGAGAGCTGTCCTGCAGCTGCCCACTGATCACTGAGGCACGTCTACACATGTTTGGAATAAACCCATGATGTGTGAACTAGAACCCTAGTAGCAGTATTTTTTTTATTTAGTCACGTGTATACCATATATAGATGTATGCATTTGTTGTTAAGGCCTGTTAAGTAGGTTCAGAATCATAGAGACCTTGTATAGAGTTTCCAAGAAGCAGCAAGTGGGTTTTAACCACCAACCTTGCAGTCCAGTGTTTAGCCTACAGTGCCAAATCAGGAGTCTCCCTCTATGTATATCTATATCTATATCTATATTATATATGAGCCCACATATTGAGTCAAGTCCATGAAAACTCACTGGAAAAACTGAAGACGGGTATTACATTAAAACCTGTGAAAACTGGAACTTATGTTAGGCAGAACCCTGTCAGAGAAGCCATGTATTTTCCACTAAAACGAGAAAAATGGCTAGACTGCATTCTCTTAAAGGCTGAAACCTTGTAAAACCCGGAAAAAGAAGACAGCACTATTGGGTCCCAGCTTCACTGTATTCATCTGTGTCATGAAATCAATTGAATGAATTATGACCAGAATCTTTTTATAAAGTCATGTCGAATAGATAATATCAGAAGGCATTTATATAAAAATGGTAGGCTTATGAAATTTTTATTCTAGTTATATGAGCGCATGTTTATGTAGTAGGCTGTGATTTAACCCACACCTCTCTGGTTTGTGGTCAGGAGTCTGAAAAATGCTTCCTTACGCAGTACAGACACATTATATTTTCATGTACAAAAGATGTCTGTACTTTAGGGAAAGAATTTGAATCATGGATTTCAGATGAGAGCAAAATGACCAGCACCTGTATAATAAACATAGTGCCTTTCTCTTTCCCTATTCTCCTCTTTTTTGATTTTAGCAACTGGAAGCCATCCGCGTCAAGGTCACATCTGGAGACACGGCAGGGCAGGAGAGGCCGCTGCCCCCACTGGCCACCGTCCAGCCCAGAACATGGAGGCCAAGTCCTCTGGCAGCGAGGAGTCCCAGCCTCGCTGGTCCTCAGCTTCTCAGGGCCCAGCCGCTGCTAAAAACTGGGCCACAGCCATGTCACCTGAGCAGCTCACCTCAGCCACCCGTCCAGGTGTTTGTGCAGAGACCCCTGCCCGCCCTCAGTGCAATCTCCGTGAAGAGAGTCACAGTCCCCAAAGCTCCTAGCGGAGAGGCAGCCGGAGCCTCTCAGCCGGCCTTACCATCTATTTCGCCTGGTTCAGCCAATGCGTCTGTTTCCGACTTGCACATAAAACAGACTGAGAAAATCAGAAAGTCGTTAGAAGTGAAAACCCGCTCTGGCCGGATCTCTCGACCTCCCAAGTATAAAGCCAAAGACTACAGGTTCATCAAGACGGAGGATCTGGCCGATGGCCACCCGTCAGACTCCGATGACTACTCCGAGCTCAATGTGGAGGAAGATGAAGAGCAGAGGGGGAAGGGGGCGCTCTTCGACACCTCGCCTTGCTCTCTGCGCCCTAAAACCTTCAAGTGTCAGACCTGTGAGAAGTCCTACATAGGGAGGGGGGGGCTGGCCCGCCACTTCAAACTTAACCCAGGCCACGGGCAGCTGCAGACTGCGGAGCTGCTGCCGGAAAGAGCCCGTGGGCACAGCCTTCAGGGACACACAGAGGATGGGACCACCAGCCCAGTCCCCCCGGAGCTATCCACTCCCTCTATCCGAAGTGAGGAGCGCGCTCTGCAGGTAACCTTTCTGTGTGTGTGACCATGTCTTTACCCCGCTCTTTACCTGCCATCCTAAATTTACCTTGACTATGTCTGATGAGGGTTCGGGCAGAGGCTCAGGCAGGACTGAAATGGTCAGTCCCTGGGTGTACCGCTGCCAGCCAACTGGGTGCAGGCATGAGCTTCTCCGGCAGCAGCATCTTGGGAGCACGTTTGGGGGGAACGCAACCGCAGCGTGCAGTCATGGAGGACCAGTCCACAGACGTGCACCCCTGTCTGACACTGATGCGACAGAGTCCAGAGAAGGTTGGCGGTGCCGCTTCCTGGAGCGTCCTCATCAGTGTCCTTCTCCACCCCGTCTGTCCCTTCTGTTCCTCCTGTAAAACTAACAGGGAGAAGTCACCATGAGGCCACATGGCCGCTAGACTCTCAGGCCTCCAAACACACAGGCCATGGCATGTGATTTACGTATTGTGGGTCATTTTACGATGACAAGTTTCTGCCCGTGGCCTCTCATCCCACTTGCTTCCCCTTCTCTGTTTGCTGTGGTGTGTGTGTGTGTATTATAGTGTTTGAAATGTTAAATTGGGAAGACCAGCATTGGAGTAGGTGTGATGATTTGATGGGAGTTTGTGACTGACAGCAGGGAAGAGGAGGAAAATGTGTGTCTACCTCCTGGGGACACTGCAGGTCACTCAGTGTCCCTGCAGTAGGCAGGGGTCTAAGGACTGAGTGGACAGTGGAGGGACCATGGGGCAGCTCCTGTGTGAACACTGTCTCTCTTAGCAGCAGTAACTTCCTGTGGTACCTTGTGTTGTCCGCCTTTGGAGGGCAGGAGGATCAGCACTGGACTGTTAACTACTAGGTTCGTGATTCAAACCCACCAGCTATTCCTCAGAAACCCTATATAGGGTCACTCTGATATGGAACTGAGTCAACAGCACATAATAACAACAATCCTATACCTGAGAGGTCAGCATAATGGTGAGATGAAGCCCAAGAGGCTCAGCCGGAAGCTCTGACTGACTGACTTCCTCCCCTCAGGTCATGGTGTGTCAATAAGAGTCTGTCCAGGCTGGGCATTAGACCCTATTCTTCTCCCTCTAAAGCCAAACCCAACTTCTAGAAAACCTTTCTGTTTCTGTTCTTTTGAAGTTGTCTTAGGGCTGGGGCAACTATATGGTTTATCAGTTAAACCAGGGGCACCCAGGACAGTGTGAGGTAGACTGAACCACCACCCTCCCCTGGCACTACTTCCTTCAATCAGGGAATCCTCCACCACAGCAAAAGCAACTTCTGGATACTCTGATGCCTAAACAGAGGCACCTGGCCTTGGGAGTGATGCCCGTCCATGTTGCTGGGCACAGAGCCCACGTCCTCCGACTGCTGGGGTGGAGAGGGGTCAGCTATGGTGAGCCAGCCGCAGGATGCTTAACAGCACCAATAACACCCACTTCCTTCTGAAGCACCCACTGTCATTGGATGTGTGGAGGGTGAGCTCCTTGTGTACCCTTCCCCAGTCCTGGGGGCAGTGGGTGCGTTCTTATTCCTCTAACAGCAGGGAATGCGCATGGAATGTGGAAACAGAAAAGTCTACACTAATCCAGAGAGACAGGAAGTAAAATAGTGGTTGCCAGGGGCTATAGGGTGAGGGGCTGGAAGTGACTATACAGGCTTTCGTCTGGGGTGGTAAGAGCGTTCTGGAATTAAACAGCATGGATTGTTGCACAACCTTGTAAATGGCCTGAATTGTGAACTTCAGGGCATTGAAATTGTTGCTGTTAAGTGCCGTTGAATTGGTTCTGACTCAGAGCAATCCTGTCTAAGGTATCCAAAGAGCTGCTGGTGAGTTTGAGCCACTGGCCTTGCAGCTCGCGGTCGCGTTCTTACCCCAGAGCGCCACGGATCTTGTGTGAAGTAGCAGTTTTTTTAAAGAGCCACAGATCCATTAGAATTCAGAATCGGGGTTCACTTTCGGGTTGTAAGTAATGTCAGAGGCTGCATGTTCCATTTAGAGCACACCGCAGTGGTCGGCCCAGACCTCCTGGCCGTCTGACACTTAACCTGCATCGTAAAGAGGCACTTGATTAACACACACTGATCCTATAGCTCACACGAAGGAGCCCTGGTGGCGCAGTGGAGTAAGCATTAGTGTTGCTAACTGCAGGTTGTGGTTCAGCCCCACCATCCACTCTGAAGGAGAAAGAAGAGAGGCAGTTTGCTTCCATTAAGATCTACAGCCTCAGGCAGCCCAGTGAGCAGTTCTGCCCTGCCCAGTCGACTTGCTATGGGTTAGAGCCAACTTGACAGCTGTGGGCAGAGAAGAAGAATTATGTCAACAAGTCATCGTGTAACCGGGTCTTGGCTTTCCACCTGACCCGTTTCTGCTCTAAGACTTTCACTGTGGCAGCATGAAGCAGGATTTGGTGTAGTTTTTTGGCTGTGTGACATTCCTTCAGAACGGTCAGTCTGCAGAACTGATGACACCTCGGTGATAAGGGAGACCCCCAGCACCTGGCAGCCCAGAGCAGCTGTTCTGCAGAAGAGCGGTACAGCAGAGCCACCAGGGACCCTGGAGCCCTGGGGGGGCCGTCACCGATGGCCTGTGCCTCAGCTTCAGCATCCCGTTTGCATGGTACATGGTAGTTCACTGTGAGCTTTCTGAATTCCAAAGTCACCTGACAATTCTCTGGAGCTATCCTGGTGTGGTGCTGTAGAATAAGCACATGGACGGTGGTTCAGAACCACCAGCTTCTCCTTGGAAACCCTGTACAGGGATACTCTGAGTCGGAACTGACTTGACGGCACTGAACAGCAACAACAGCAAACTTGGACGGAGTGCTGTGAACACTCGGAGGCAGTGGTGTCTGTCAGTGCACTAACTCACCTGTTCCCAGGGACCTCGGGCCTCAGTTCCAGCCCTGCAGTCAGCAATGACTGGTACCTGGTGTGCACGGAAGCAGTCTAGTGAACCATGGAAACAGCTTCTGTTTTCCTGTAAAAAGCTTCAAGGAATCAAGCAGGTGTCAATTTTTGGACCTTGGAGTCTCCTAGTCCCATTCCTTCCAAAGTAGGTTCATTGAGTTTAACTAAATTGACTTGGGAAAGTGGAATGCTAAACTTACCCACATGGTCTTTGGCTAGAAATGTTTGTATCTGCCTCGTGTGAGAATATCTTAAACAAACGAAATGGGAAACTGCGAGTGATGCCTGAAATGGAGCCAGAGATGATGACGTGGAGCGGTGGAGCACCTGGAGACTTTAGATCCAGAGAGGGAGAGCGACTATGTGCTGAAGACCTAGGGGGTACAGGGGAAGGATTGCATGGAGGGGATTGTAACCATGGCAATGAGACGATATATGATAGAATGAATGTAAAACTAATGTTCTCCCATGTAAACTATCACATAATTCACAATAAAACATTTAAGAAAAAAAAAAAGAAATGGAAAACTGCAAGAGAAAGCCTGAGACGGTAGCTTAATGAGAGATCAGGCCCCAGAGAGTGGCTACCAGGGGTCCTGACTTCCAACCTCCTGAGACTAAGGGGAAGCCGTGGTTTCCAGAGCGGAAGTGGGTTTCCTCGAAGGCTTCTTAGGCAAAATGTGATGTTACATGTTCAAGCTGCAAATACATCCCTGATGAGTTATCTTCCCTCCTATTGTGGGCTTTCAGTTGTGCCCTTGGCTTGATCCCTTCATTTTACATTCAACAGAACTGCCATTTATCAAGTCCTTTCTGTGTGGGAGCTCAGTCGCCCTGAAACCCTGATGCACGGTGTTAGTGCCAGGCACACCTCGCTTCACAAGAACCACTCTCCCGGACACTCCTCACTTCATTCATTCCACAAGAACTCCTCTGCCAGACACACCTCACTTCATTCATTCCACAAGAACCACTCTCTCGGACACCCCTCACTTCATTCATTCCACAAGAACCACTCTCTCGGACACACCTCACTTCATTCATTCCACAAGAACCACTCTCCCGGACACACCTCACTTCATTCATTCCACAAGAACCACTCTCGTGGACACTCCTCACTTCATTCCACTCTCCCAGACACACCTCACTTCACTCTCTCCATGATTTGGGGAACCTAAACTTGAGTCCAACTAAATGACTTGCGCCTGACCTAAGCCACAATATTTTCAGTAACCTCACATGCCTGCAAAAGCTGGACAGTGAATAAGGAAGACCGTAGAAGAATTGATGCTTTTGAGTTAATGGTGTTGGAGGAGAACGTTGAGAGTACCATGGACCACCAGAAGAACAGATAGCTCTGTGCTGGAAGAAGTGTAGCCAGAGTGCTCTTGGAAGCCATGATGGCCAGACCTCATCTCTCATACATCAGATATAGTATGAGGAGGAACCAGTCACTGGTGGAGAAGGATATCATATTTGGTAAGGTGGAGGGTCAGAGAAAAAGAGGAAGTCCCCTGGCGAGATGGATTTGCAATATGGCAGCGTCAGTGGGCTCAAGTGTGGCAACAATTGTGAGGTTGGCCCAGGACTGGGCAGTGTTTTATTCTGTTCTGCATAAGGTTGCCATAAGTCAGTACCGAATGATGGCACCTAACAACAAAATGACTTGCCGTAAGTCATCAGCAGGCAAGGGGCAGACAGGAGTGTCACCCAGGTGGTTTTGTGCTGCTTGAGTCTGGGTGTATGAGTGTGTCTGGTATGAGTGAGGCCAGCTGCTCCATACCTTAGTGAATGATGTGACAGTGAGTGGCATTGAGTATGCCTGCACACTCACATCTGTCACACAGAGGACTGGGACTCTAAGCAGCACTGCGCTCTGACCTTAGAGATCTGAGTCCTAGAATCTGAACTTTGCATACCACGTGGCAGACCCTGCTTTTGCTGTTGAGTGTTTATGAGATCAATGTGGTGGCCCCTGTGTTCAACAGTGTCAGCCTGGTAAACCAGAGGTCACCCAACAGCTGTCAGGTGGGCTGTGTGCCAGGAGCTTCCTGTGGGCTGGTGTTAAGCTCATTTAGAATTTAGGGTGTGTGAGGAATGCCCCTGTTCCAGCCTTCCCACACTGCATGTGGAGGCGGCTGGGAAAAGGTTCTGTTCCCAGGGTTTTTGGAAGTCGTTATCCAACATGCCTTGCAAGGGACCCATTTTCCTTGTCTTTTCTGGCTGTTTTTGTGACCATCATCTCTGACTTGGACTCCCTTTTCCAGTCTGTCTCTGCATCACAATGCTGCTGTGACAGACAGACCCAAGTGGGGGACTTTGAAGAGCAGACGTTTCTTTTCTCACAGGTCTGAAGACTGAGGGTCTCAGCCTTGTCAGTAGCCCTGGGCATGCCCTGACTTGTAGATGAGCCTCATTAAGCATTGTCTTCCTCCTGTGTCTCTGTCTTAACAGCTGCTGCTCCTGCTGTACCTCAGCAGTGATTAGGTATAGGACCCACCCTGCACTTCTGATTTCATTAACATAATAAATCGCATTTTTCGATAGAATCTTACCCACCTGCATGGGGCTTAGGACTCCAGCATGTGTCCAGAGGGGACTAAGGCAATCCCTAACCCGTGACCTGAGACACCTTTCCTGGGGCATCATACCCATTCGGGTCTCAGGCCAGCTGTCCTGTGTGCCAACCCCAGGTCTACATCCTGTGCTGACCTCCCTCCAGTGCTTAAAGCTCACGTCCTGGGGCTTTGGAGCTCCCTCAGCCACCTCTGCCACAGCAGGCTCCCTGTCCTGGACCAGCCTGGTCAAGGCACCTCTGACTGCCCAGGTGACCAGAGGCATTGTGACTGCCCTCTCCTTCACTCCCCTCCTGGTGCCCACGCTCTCTCAGCCTTCAGGACAGTGTCGTCCTCCCACTTCATCCTCCCTGACCCTGCTCACCCTCCTCCCACCTGGTCCTCCCTGACCCTGCATGCCCTCCTCCCACCTGGTCCTCCTTGACCCTGCACGCCCTCCTCCCACTCCGTCCCCCTGACCCACTGTGCCCTCCTGTCACCCTATCCCACAGTTCGCATCTCAGGCCTGCACCCCAGCCCTTCTCTCCCCCATACCCAGCTTTAACCTAGATCTCTCTGCTCGGGGCCTGTCGCAAGAAATGGACTGCCCTGCACTCTAACTGAGCCCCGCAGGCAGCCCGCGGGCCTCTGAGGACTCCCCTTGTTAATCTGGATGGGGAGCTCCAGGGAGCAGGGCCTGGGTCCCAGTCTGCCTTTTGTGTTCTGTGTGTCATCAGCGTGTTGACTGTCAAGAAACTTGGGGTGTTCAGAGATGTCAAACACCTTCTCTTGGTGGTTCCCCAGCAGTGTGGCAGGGAGGAAGTGACAGAAGTGGCCCCCCCTGAGCTGACTCCAGTTGTGACAGTGTATGAATTTCTCCTGATGAAGGTGAGTCTAAGTGGCGCTTGTGAACAACACTGAAGTGACGTGAGAAGGAGCCTGGCTGGCTGGCGTCGTGCCGTGTCCGGGACAGAGCGAGAGGGACCTGCTGACACTTAGCAGGGTCTTGGGCTGGTCACTCATCCACCAGTAGAAGGAGCCACAGCAAACGGCTGCCGGCCCTCGGCACCCACTGCCCTTGTGACCCCATGACCCTAGGCTCTGCTCGCTGGTTAGCTTGTTCTCCTAGTGGCCTGCACTTGACTGATGGCAGACGCCGTCCGGGGGTCTCCCAGTGTCCCACAGAACAGAACACTGGCCCTCCGTCTACCTGCCAGGCTTATAGACATGAGCCCTTGGGCCTTTCTGAACCCCCACTCCTTACCCCCTCCCCACCCTGGGGGGCCCCTCTGTGTGGTCACCCTCTCCTGCCCCACCAGCACCGGTTCTCATGGGGAGGGATGGACACACCGCCACCGAAACAAGGAACTGTGTCCTCCTAGTTTAATGTCTTTCTGGGCTTTCCACTTGACTGCCTTGGGTGAAACATTTCCGGTCACCTTCATCTTCACATCTTCACAAAGGTTGCACGAAGCCGGCTAGCAAAGCCTTTGTTCCCAGCCGTGTACAAGGAGTTTGAAGAGTTGCATACGATGGTGAAGAAGCTATGTCAGGATTACCTCAGGAGTGCCAGCCACAGCTCTCTGGAGCCCCTGGAAATCCACAACACTAAGGTAACTGGCTCCCTCGGGTAGGGCTCTGTTCTCTGCCAGTCCAGGGAAGGGCATCGGCAACAACGGGGAGTAGAGGGGCAAAGCGACGGCTTCGTAATCAACATCCTCTTAGCTCTTTTTTCCATGAAACGCGCTGTTTTCTGAAGCGATAAGTGCTTGTTCTAGGGGACTCAGAAGTGCAGGTCAGCTGAGACCCAGCAGCCTCTGCTCAGTGAATACTGTGGATCGTCACTTGCGTCTGCACGTGGGCTTTTGGGGTGCAGAGGTGCTGAGTGTGCTCGTTAGGCACCGCTATTTTGTAAGTGTCATTGCCATCGTCAGATTGCACAGACGTGTTCCAGCTGGTGTGGTTTATTGTGGAAAAGCCTTTGCTGAAGGTCAAGTGTGATCATTCCGGGGCCTCAACAGTGTGCAGCATGCTCAGTTCTCACCCAACCACACTGACTGTCATGGTCCTTTCTGTTTACTCTCCCAGCACCACGATTGTACATTTGTTGTTGTTAGGGGCCGTGGAGTCAGCTCTGACCCATAGTGATCCCATCTATATGAACAACACAATGAAACACTGCCCACTCCTGCGCCATTCTCACAATTACCGCTATGCTTGAGCCCGATGCTGCTGCCACTGTGCCAGTCCATCTTGTTGGGGGTTTCCCTCTTTATCTCTGACCCTCCACTTTGTCCTTCTCCAGGGACTGCTCCCTCCTGATAATATGACTAAGGTATGAGAGATGAAGTCCCTATCAGTGTGCTGTTGCAGCCATTTAAAGATTATCTTTAGCAATATCTTACTTACATGTGATGTTAATGATATTGTCTGATGATTACCACACTCCGTTCAGTTACCTCTTTGGAATGGGCACGAAGATGGATTTCTTCCAACAAGATGGCCAGGTAACTGTCTTACAAATTTCTTGGCATAGATGAGTGAGTGCCTCTAATGCCTCATCAGTTTGTTGAAAGATTTCCATATGTATTCCTTCAGTTTCTAAAATCTTGTTTTTTGCCAATACCTTCAGTGCACCTTGGACTTCTTCCTTCAGTACCATTAGCTCTTGATCATATGCTACCTCTTGAAATGGTTGAAACGTCAACCATTTCTTTTTGGTACATTGTCTCTGAGTATTCCTTCTATCTTCTTTTGATACTTTCTGAGTCGTTTAGTATATTTTACCCAGAGAATCCCTAAGTATTTCAAACAAAGGCTTGAATTTTTTCCTCAGTTCTTTCAACTTGAGAAATGCTGAGTGTGTTTGACCCTTTTGGTTTCCTCATTCCAAATCTTTGCACATTTCATTATAATATTTGACTGTTTTCTTGAGCTGCCCTTTGAAAATTTCTGTTCAGCTCTTTTACCTTCTCATGTCTTCCATTTGCTTTAGCATCTCTGTGCTGGAGAACAAGTTTCAGGGTATCTTCTGGTAACCATTTTCGTCTTTTTCTTGGTCTTCTTAGTGACCTTTTGCTTTCTTCCTAAATGAAGTTCTTGATGTCATCCCACAACACTTCTTGTGTTTGGTCATTAGTGTCTAATGCCTCCAGTCTGTTGTTGAGATGATCTCTAAATTCACGTGGGATATGTTCACAGTCATATTTTGGCACTCATGGACTTGTTCTAATTTTCTTAAGCATCATCCTGAACTTGCACATGAACAATGGATGGTCTGTTGCACAGTGTGCCCAGTCTTGTTTTGGCTGATGATATGGAGCTTTTCCACCGTCTCTTTCCACAGATGTAGTCAATTTGTTATCTGTATATTCTATCTGGTGAAGTCCATGTGCATAACTGTCTTTTATGTTGTTTAAAGGTATTTGCAATGAAAAATGCATTGGTTTTGCAAAATTTTATCATGTGATCTCCAGCATCATTTTTATCACCAAGGCTGTATTTTCCAACTACTGTTCCTTCCTCTTTGTTTCCAACCTTTGCATTTCAATAACCAGTAATTATCAATACATCTTGTTGTCATGCTTGATCCATTTCAGACAGAAATGGTTGTTGTTGTTAAGTGGCGTTGAACCAATTCCAACCCATAGTGACCCTGTATAGGCTTTCCACAGAGCAGGTGGTGAGCTTGAACTGCCAGAGCAGTTCAAATGGCTTTGCAGTGTGGTGCATTAATCCACAGTGTCACACCAGGACTCAAGCTCTTCAATTTCACTTCACTTATCACTGGCTTTATTGGTTGGTGCATAAATTTGAATAATAGTTTATTAACAGGTCTTCTTTGTAGGTGTATGGTTATTATTCTATCACAGACAGTGTTTGTTGTACTTCAAGACAGATCTTGAAATATTCTTTTTGATGATGAATGCATCACCATTCATCTTTAATTTGTCATTCCCGGCAGAGTAATCCCTGTGATTGTCAGAATCAAAATGGCCAATAATGCCTAGGGTGTCGATCTTTATGCAGTCCATTTCAGTTTTGATGTTTTGTGTTGTTGGGTTTTTTTTAAGTTTTTATTGTGAATTGAGTGATAGTTTATGTGGGAGGACATCAGCTTTACACTCAGTCTATTGTATTTCATTCCATTGCAATGATTACAGTCCCCTCCATGCATCATTCATCATTCAACATCATTTGCTTCTATTTCCTGTTTTGTTTTGTTTTTTTTGATGCACACCAAAACACTCAGGAATATACAGTCATTCAAACAACCAGGGGGCACACGCTGCAAGCCTGCCCCCAGGCCACCAGCACACAGCCCATCTCCCTCCATGAGTCTAGAGTCCCCAGCTGCTCTATCCCTCTATGTCATCATCTCTGCCTCCAGCTCTGGTGTCGCCGCTTATCCGAGTAGGGTCCCGCACTCCGCTCCTGCTCTTCTCCCTTTATGGTCCCAGGGTCCTCTGCTCCTGGAATGTAAGATCAACCACTTCCCTTTTTTTTTTGCTACAAAATGTCTACCTTTACAGTTACAACAATCAGTCCTGATAACAGTTATTCACTATTGAACCACTCCTTTCACCAGCCCCTTCTAGACAAGATGAAAACTATTCCGTGGGGATTCTACCCCTCTGCCCTGTACACTCTGAAACTAAACTCCTTCTTAAAAACTTATAAACCAGTCCTTTGTGCCTTGATAGTCCCTCATTTTAGGTAGCTAATGTCTAAGTTGCCCATCCCTGTCAATCCTGTGTACAGAGAGGATGGGAATGAACCTTGGTGTGAAGATTCCTTCACCTCAGGTGACTCAAACTTGACGACACCGCAGCCCTTGGACTTCCTGTTCTCCATCTTGATGTCGGCGTACAGTACATGGCCACACTTGTTGAATTTGTCTTTTAGCATTTTCCATGTAAAATCAAATGGGAGGTTTCTCACAAAGATCTGGCAGGCCTTCCGGGCCACTCCAGGGACATGGCCTCCGACTCCACCAAAGGAACTGGCAAAGCTTCCTCCATAGTTGCCACGCTCCATCTTGATGGTGCATTCAAAGCTGGCGCCACCACTGCCACCCATGGTGGGGCCCATGCACTATGCCAGTGGCCATGGGATCCATCACAGGGCCCATGTGCTCCAGGCCAACCCCTATGCCTGCGGGCACCATGCGCTACATGCTCAGACCCAGGCGCTCGATGGCAGGGCCCATCCGTTCCACACCAGAGCCCCATGCGCTCAATGGTCTGGCCTACACGGTCGATGGGCACGGCCATGCGCTCCAGGCTGAAGCCCATGCCGGCACCCATGCGATCCGCACCATAACCAATGCGCTCCATGGTCTGACCCATGCGCTCGATGCTAGAGGCCATGTGGTCAAGGCCCAGCGGGCCCATGCGCTCAATCTCGGAGCCCACACGATCCATACCGTGGCCCAGGCCTGCGCCTATGCGCTCCATGCCAGCACCCTCGATGCGGTCAATGTCAGGGCCCATCCTCTGGATTCTGGGGACGCTGCCTCCACCTCCACCTCCTTCCTGCTTTGCCATGATTGCTCCTCTCTTCAGTGTATTACTTAGGATCTCATTTATTCTGCCCATGTTCATTCCAGATCCAAATTGGCCCATGTTTTCCATTCCACCACCAAAGAGCCCCTCCATGCCTGCTGGTCTGATGTTTCCCATTCCGATGCCTTTGCTCAGGTGATTAGCATTGATCGGCTGCCCTCCTGGTCCTAACCCCATGCCAATACCACCAAGGCCATGGGGTAGCTGCTGAGGACGCTCAGGGGGGGAAAAAGTCTGCCTTTGGTAAGGCTTTCTCATCCATTTTTACATGCATCAGTCTATCAAATAGCAGCTGGCCATTAAACATAGATATTGCTTGCACAGCTTCGATGGACTGTTCCAAAGTCACAGTGCCAATTCCATGACTTTTCCCATCTTTATCTTCAAGAATGTCTGCTTGGACCACCACACCAGCCATACTAAATACTTCCTTCAGTTTCTTCCAGCCAACTTTATAATCCAGATTTGCTACAAATACTGTGCTTCTGAGTCTTCTGGCCTGTAATTCATGGATAATCTCATTCGGGATGTTAGGATTATTTAGGATACTGGGTGGGACAGTAATCATTCCTGGGCTGCCTGGTCCCATCCCCATCCCACCGGTCGTAGCCATCACCTTTTGCATGTTCACCAACAGGATCTTCTCTGACTTTCAGTGGTCTTCCACTCAGACTATGCTTGTTTAGAACTTGGGCAGCTTTTTTCATGCTCGCTTCCATGTTGAATTCAACAATAGCACATCCCCTTGACTTTTCCTTCCGCGTCCATTAAGAGCTCCACGTATGTTACCTCACCAACTTTTTCTTTAACCAGGTCTTTAAGGGACTGCCATTTCACATCGAAAGGTATGTTTGTAATGAAGGCTCTGTATCTTTGAGTCGGGTTGGCATATGGCTCAAAGCGATTGCCTCCTCTTTTCATGCCTTTCACCTTCCTCTTCTTGTTCTGAGTAGGCTGTTCTCTTTCACCCTTGGGACCCGGAGCCCCGTTGCCACTCGGCACATCGGATGCGCCACTCTCCTCCTCCATTTTGGGTCCCGTTGCCGCCACCTCCGCTGCCGCTTCAACCCCTGCCGCCATTTTCTCCACGTCTTCAAAATCATTTCAATGTTTTCATCCCAGCTGTGATCACACAGGTCCTGTGTTGGGTTTTGCTGATGACCCTCTACTAGCTCTGTCGTCTACTTTTATGTCTCTCTTCATTATGTTCATTGTTCAGACAGCACCTCGCTGTACAATTAAAATTCAGTCACGTAACTCTTCTGTTGCGGCCTGCTCAGGGAGGCATATGTGTTGGGGTCAAAGTCCTCTCACTGTAGGCCCCTCAGTTACCTGATGCTGTTATAACAGAATGCCACGGGTGAGGGGCTTTAAGGAACAGGGATTGATTTTCTCACAGTCCTGGCAGTGGTACTAGGGAAAGGCGCATTCGCCGTGTTCGCCACGTTCTCCACCAGCTCTTGGGAAAGGTCCTTAGAGCTGTTTGACTTTGGTTCCTGGGTTGCTGGGGGGTGATGTGACCTCTCCCTTCACCTACCTGTGCTTGCTTCTGTTCCTCACCTGCTCCTTTTGGAGCTCCTTCCCAATGGGATCACAGCCACAGCTGAGGGTAAGGATCCCCTCACGTTTGTGGGTGGGCACAATGCCATCCCTAACGCCTCCTTCTCCTCAGGTTGCTGAGTCACTGGGGATCACTGAAGAGCTCCTGAGGGAAAGAGAAGTACGCCTGGACAGTCTTCCAGGGAGGTGCGGCGGCCACGAGGCGGACAGGGCAGAGGCTGGAAGACGGAAGCGGGAAGGCGAGGTGGGCCTGGGCTGAGCGGATGTCCAGCTGTCCCTTGTCCAGTGTTGGCGAACTATGGGCTGCTCACTGAAGAAGAGGGCAGGGCAGGTCTGCTGGGCTCTTCCCTGGCCTGGCAATCAGCTCTTCTCTCCACAGACCCCAGACGAGCTGCTGGTGTCGGTGAAGAGGACCAGAAGAGAGACCGTGCCCCAGGATGCCACAGAGCCTCTGGCTGTTCCCAACGGAAGCCAGGAGAGGCCCAGGACCATGTGTGTGCCAGCTGTCCAGGAGGGTAAGATGGTTCATGCTGTGTGTCCCCAGGGCTCAGTTTCAGAGGGTCCTGGTGTCTCAAAAGCACCCCTGTCCATCTTCCCGAAGTTCCGTTTGTGCCCTGTGAGGCCTGAAGCTGTGAGGTTTTCTGGGGTCCCTTTAAGGTGAACAGCTGCCTCCTGGGTCAGCACCTGAGCCCAGAGGGGCCCAGAAGGAGTTGGGGAGACCTGTGAGGAGGAGCAGCGAACACACTTTGTGCGTGGCTTGGCTGTAGTGAGAGTTGACTCTGACACTTGACAAAGCCCATTCTTGCTGTCCCTCTTGCTCTAACCAGAGCCTGGCAACAAGGCTCAGTGAACCATATGGCACACCAAGAGCTGTCAAAACCTTTAACGCTCCCTCTCCCCCCTTTCAGCAATCTGTATGTTCTCTGCGTGCTTTATCCACTCTCATCCTACAGTGAACAGCTTCACAAGCTCTGAGGGGCCAGTGTGCAGGACAGGGGTGCTTGGGTCGGGTCAGGATCGCCTCAGGAGGTGATTATAGAGTACAGTGAGGCCCACAGTTGGTTGGGAGAGGTGGACACGTGGGATTTGAAAAGCCCTCGGGTTCAGAACCGCCAATCATGCGTTCAGTGCAGAAACAGAACTCACACCAAGGAGTGGCTCTGAGAACCGTTTTAATATAGAAGCTGTCTTTTTCATGTAGAATGAGGCTTGATCTAAAACAAATTTGCTGCCAATCGCACGGAGCAAGGGGAGTTTACACTGTGTCTTTGTTAGCAGGAGATTGGATGTGGGGAGGGGACTGTGACGAGGGCAGTAGCAGGTGACACACAGGTGTTATCTGGCTTTTCTGTATCTTTAGGTTGTAACCTTCAAGTCAACGGACACGCATCCTATCCAGGTCCTGTCAGCGGGGACAGCCTGCGCCTTGTCGGCCAGCTGTGCGGCACGTTGGCTGACGTAGGTGGCCACAGTGGGTCAGCAGACTCGATGCCACTGCCCCAGGGTGCCATCGGGCTGGCCCAGGACACTCAGGAACATTCAGGCCAGCACGCTGGGGGCCGCCTGCTCTGTCCTAGTCTCGACAGCAGCTCGGTGTCCAGTGGAGGGCCTGGGGCCCTGCTGCTGGGTGGAGTCCAGAATGCAGGGGCCAGCCCCAGCCCCATCACCCTCACGGATGTCCCTGCGTTGTTCCCGGAGGCCGAGCCTGCAGACCAGGCCTCGAAGACTGCTGCCGAGCCAGGGCTGCCACCCGACCTAGACAAGCTGCCGGCAGCTTCCAGGGGTCTCGGCAGCCACATGGGGGGCTGTGGGCTGGAGGAGCATGCTGAGCAGACGGAGCTGGAGAACATTGTTGCTGTAGGGGAGACCCTGGCTTTGGAGATTGCCAGCGGGGGCCACCAGCTGTTTCCTCAGGGGCAGGAGCAGATTTTTATTCCAACTGCCAACGGGCTTGTCTTGTCCCACCCAGGGACACTGGTGACTGGGGAGGAGGATGTTGTCATAGTGACCACAGTAGAAGGGCCTGCCCTGCAGGCGGGCCTTCCTGTGGAAGTCTTCCTGGCAGAGGGGGGCGAGTCCTGTCCCTGAACCCAAGTCAGACCACAGTCCTGTGTTTGTAGGTATTTTCTCCAAAGAAAGTCTATTTCGAGCAGCGTATATTTTTCTAATGTGAATACTGACACAAATGCACCATTTATTTATAAAGAATACGTTTCCACCCGACTGTCTGCCTTCTCTGTAATGTGTTCACTGTCATCTCCCTACAGTCGTTCGCAGCAGCTTTGGATGACTGTTGCAATTACTACTGCGACCCTGTCGCCACTACTGCACCCCTGATGTGGCGATGGAGAGTAAGTACTCGATTGCTAACCAAAAGGTCGGCAGTTCAAACCCACCAACTGCTCCTTGGGTGGGTGGCTGTGAGTCAACTGCCTTGACGGCACTTAACAACCATATTAGCACTGTGACTTATCTGGGTACCCACCCCCCAAAAGAAAAAAAAATCTCTGCGCCCACATCTCAACAACATGCTGCCTCCCAGCAGACTTGGTCTGCACTAGAAACTGCCCTGGATTTTATAAAATCACCAGCTAGCCTTTCTGAATGGCACTGTATCAGAATGTGGAAAAGAGCTGTTTTTGTTGCAGTGGGTAGGTGAGAAGACGAGGCACGAATCGAATCGTAATAGGGTGGCACAGCCCTTAACGGTTGGTCTGTAACCTGCTCCCACTGGTCAAGGTCTCCTTTCCTTGAAGGCTGTATTACAGGAAAGCAGGGCAGGGTCATTTATCCACACTTGGAGTGTCCCCAGGGAGCACTTGGCAGGGACCATAGGGCAGACCCCAACCAGGGAGGGTGACGCTTGGGGGCACAAGCGGGTCACAGGCAACACTCCCTTGTAGGCTGCTTGGGAAATGCCAGCACCTTTCAGTCCTTCCCAGGACCACGAGGCATGTCCTCACTCTCTCCTTTGATGTTGCAGCAGGACACTCGTCCTGCAGGACAGGAATGGCCGGCAGACATAAGCCTCAGCTGCTTGCGTTGGCTAGACCAACACCATGGCTGTTGGTGAGGTGAGAGCACGGTTCCCTTTAGACAGGAGTTCTGGACCAGAGGACAGGACTGTGGTGTATGCTCTGTGTTTTCAGGGTTGTTGGTAGGTGCCACAGTCCGCTTGGACTCATGACGGCATCACGTGTGTTAGAGTGAAACTGTTTAACAGGAGTCATTCGTCAGACCCGTCACCCAAGATGCCTCTGGGGGGACTGGAACTCCCAGCCTGGGGTTAGTAGCTGGACACACTAACTGCATCACCCAGGGACTCATGCTTAACTAGAAGGCACACATTGGTTTACACCGTCTCATTGTCCCTTTCAGACAGAAACCGTTCTATTGAACGCCAGCATCAGATTTCTCATTTCCGCAGTGTGGAATGACTTGGGAATCAACAACTACAGCCACCAGAGGTCTCTTGGTGCCTCTTCATTTTGGGAGGCATGTCTGGGAGGATGGCATGGATGGTTTGTCCTTCCTTCCCTTAGCCCTCTGACTTCTGTTGGTTCTTTGCTGTAGTAGTCCTTCCCACTAGTTCTCCTGGGGACTCACTGCTGGGGGTTGGGAGGGGTGTCATCAAAGGCCCATGAAATAGTCATGAGTCCTTGCGTGTCTGTTCCAAAGGACACTTAACTCTCTAAGGACTCCCTGGCCTGGATCACTTCCGGTGTCAGCCTGGTGGGGCTGTGGCTCCAAGTGGTTTGGCCAAACACTAGTTACTGTTTCACTGCATGTGATTCAATCAGCTGGACCTGGGAAAGCAAGTGACCATCTGTAATGTAACTGCTTTCTGTGATGGAATCTATCAGTGGGGGTCATACCAGTACAGGGGTTCCTAAACCTAATCACTTCCGAGTTATCCAAAGTCAGCACACACAGGAAAGACAACTACATAGAAAGCAACACAAGGATCTCCAGCGGATACCAGAAACCTCGGAAACCCACAGAAGGAATCAACAGTTGGACTCTGGTTTGGACATTCCACCTCCAGACTATGAGAAAATAATTTCCTGTTCTGTAAAACCAACCCCTTGTGATGTTTCTATGACGGCAGCCCTAGGGAACTCAGACACCCCCAAACATCAAACTGGGCTGCCAGTGGCCCTTCATGCCAAAACCTCCCAGGTACACAACACTGGGACCTCTTCCTGCCCAGCTGCACCTGCCTCACATAGCAACATTCTGCAAGTCAAAGGCTAATCATGACATCATGTAGACTACTCAGATGTCTGCTACCTAGCTACCTTTCATTCATTGTTAAGTGCTGCGGAGTTGGCTCAACTCATAGCGACCCCGTATAGGGTTTCTGAGGAGCGACTGTTAGGCTTGAACTGCCAATTTTGAAGTTCAAAACCAACCTTGCAGTCCAGCACTTTATCCTACAGCACCACACCGAGATTCTGGCTACCTTTATGAGAAACCAAAAGCCCAAACCAGTTGCTGCTGAATCAGCCTCCGACACCACATGCCTGATCTCAGCCTTCTGTTTACCTGTTTGAAAAAAAACGATCAGAGCAGGCTATGCAAAGTTCCCGTGGCTGCCGCCGCCAAAATGCCACACAGAGAGCGGCTCTGCTGAACAGATGTTCATCAGCGTCGGTGCCTCGGGAGGCTCTGAGAGGAGCTGTCCCAGATCCTGGTGCTGCACATCCTCTCCTTGCAGCTGTGTCTGCTGGTCTTTTCCGTGTGTGTGTCTGTCTGTCTGTCTCTCTACATGTCTGATCACCTCGATAAAAGATACCACTCGGAAGGGATTAGGATGGGCACTCATCCCAGTCCAGTATGACTTAACTGGTAACCTTCAAAGACCCCAGTTCCCAAAAGGTCATGTCACAGGTATGGGACTTAGGACTCCAAGGTAGCTGGGATTTTTGAAGGGACACTTCAATCCATAACAAAGGGTTTAAAGTAGCAGTCGTTTTCTCCTGGCCATAAACTCTTCATATTTAAGCACTTATCCAAGTACAGTATGGCACTGTAGGGTAAGCGCTCGACTACTAACCACAAGGTCAGCAGTTCAAACCTACCAGCCGCTCCTTGGACACACTATCCAAGGTTGCTATGAATCAGAACCAACTTGACAGTACTTAACAACAAAAAGCCCTTATTACTAAGTGAATTAAAGTTAAAAGAATATTGATAAACACAAGACAAGTGGTGTATCTGTAATGGCTAAATATAAAAAAGCTAAAACGACTTGGTTACAAACTTCTAAAGAGCCCCAAGGGATGTGAACAGTTTGGGGTCAGAGAACTTACTAACAAGGCAAACGAGATGCAGGAACCGGAAACATGCAGAGTTTGCAGGAGACTGGGACCAGGTAACATTTCCTCCAGCCCTAGTTGTGGGCCAGTCTTGTCAGTGTGTTTCAAAACGGTTATCTTTTTCCTTTTCCTTACAAATATGTTACCCATGGAAAAGATGGCAAAAATGTGTCAGGCTCTAAGCTTTGTGTCAAAAACAACTTGCAAATAGTTTGCTTGAACCTGTCCTGTCCTCAGTGTACAAACAGCGATTACGTACACAGGTTTCATTTCTAATTTCTTGGTTAACTCCAGTGTTCTACAAATTCGTTGTAACTATAAAGTAGCATCATTAACATTTAAACAACACAGACATGTCTGAAGTAAAAACACAAAACCAGGGTTTTTCTATGCCAATGCACTGTGTAAAACGTACCTGTGCATTAGATAAACAAGGTTCACTTACTGGCTCTACTCAGGAACTGGTTTATTTCACTCAGAAGCACTTTGGGGACAGATCACAGGCAGTGCAGGTGACTCTGTGTGTGGCCGCTTCAGATGGGGCAGCCTGCAGTAGTAGGCCCAGTATACAGCGAGCCCGCAGGAGCCAGGGGACAGTGCAGTGACCTGCACGGGGGGGGCCTGTCCTCTCTGGTAGACACGGAAGCAGTGGCTGGAGGTGCCTGAGTGGGCCTGTCCTGCGTCACAGTGCTCGGTGGCCTGTCTCGAGCAGCATGCCTTCCAGAAGCAGCTGGCTGGCGCTCTCCACGTAGGGCTGGTGCAGCCACATAGACAAGTAGCTCAGAGCGAGGTCATGGTCCGCAGAATGCGCCAGCTCCTCGACCACCGTGCGCTTCAGCAGTAGCTCCTTCCTGTACATGTCCGAGAGGCTGCGGGAGACTGTGTCTGCAAGACACATACATGTGCTGGTTATTAGCTGCTGTGGAGTTGGCTCCTGATTCATGGCGACCCCGCATGCAACCGATGAAGCACTGCCCTGCCCTGCACTGTCCCATGATAACTTGTGGATTTTCTAGGTTTTTCCCTGATATTCAGGACATCTTGGCCTTTCTCCCTAGTCGGTCTTTGTGTACGCGCCACTGAAACCTGTTCGGCATCATACAAGTACTCGAGCCTCGACTGACGGGGTGATGGCTGCATATGAGGTGCACTGGCCAGGAATCGAACCCAGGTCTCCTGCATGAATGGTGAGAATTGTAACCCTTGCTTCCTCCCTGCTGCCCCCCTCCCCAAAATAAACATAAAGGCTTGTTTCATGGTAAGAATCAAGAAACTTGCTCTTTCTTGTCTCGGTGACGCGACACTGTTAAAAGTGCCGGGTTAAAAGCCAGAATCCACAATTGCACTGAGGAAGAACCAGATGGGTATCATTCCAGCTGATATTGGTGAAAATTCCGTAACAGGGTATCATGAAATTTAAAATGACACATGAAATCCTTTTCTGCTAGCTCTTAGGTGGTTCAATGTAACCTGCAAGGGTAGTTGATACTGAATTGACAATATTTCAGTTTGCATATTACATTAGGGGATTTGATCCTTTTCTCCTGATTTGACAAGGGAGATGTCTCGAGTCACACAGCCAACAGTGTAACCTCCCTTTTGCGCTGATAAACCCACTGCTGTCGAGTTGGTTCTGATTCACAGCGCCGTTCTATAGCGCTTTTGAGTCTCTAAATCTTTACGGGAGTAAGAAAATCCATCTTTTTCCCTTGGAGTGGTTGGTGGGTTTGAACTACCTACCTTGTGGTTAGCAGTCCAGCTTAACCGTGCCACCAGGGTTCCATAATAAAGCTGACAGTTACCCCATAAGAAGGGTCTCAATGAGCTTATTTGACTAGTGACTTCTGTGGGGCTGGCTGAAGTGACCTCAGTTCATTTTTAATGAAAAAAACAACACCAAAAAACCACCATTGTCCTTGCTCCCCAAAAGCATGATAGACTTCTGCCCCTACCAAGGCCATGAAGTTCATTCCACCCATTGGCTTTAAAGGGCTAATAATGACGACTCACGCAACAGGTCTCTAACTGTGTTTAATACTAATCACCAGGCGCTGGTGAGATCCCAGCTCCCCGTGACCCCATGTGGTCGAGGCAGAACTGTAGCCACAGGGTTTTTAATAGCTTGAGTTTTTGGAACTGCATTACTGGCCCTTCCTTCCAAGGTGCCTTTGGGTGGGGTTGAAACTCCAACTTTTCAGTTATGAGCCCAGCTGTGTATCTCCCAGTTACCAGGGAGGTAACAAGATCCAGGAAGAGATGCACATTTGAAGACACTCTCATATCTCCCCCACCCCACCTCCTATCCCCAGCCCCCTCAGTGGATCCTCTGGAGTTGAATTTCAAAGCCTTGTCAGCTTCTTAAGGCACCAGGTCTAAGTGATCCCAAGTGCTCTCACCATCTTACCCCCTGCAAATTGACAAAGAAAGGATGACTTACAAAAATGGGCCGTGGGCCAGGTGTGGAACAGGACTGGCCGTTGGCTTTCCTTCCCATGATGGTAATTTTCTAGGTCACAAATGCCTTTAGTGGTTGAAGACAGCTTTTCCATTTTCACCTGTATTTTGGTCTGAAAAGATAGTAACTTTGAATATGAAAATACTGAAATGTACTCCAGCCTCAGATTCAGTAGTTGGAAGATTGCAAAACTACGAAGTACATGTCTGCTGGGACTGGACACCCAGCAACTAAATACCATTAGCTCTACATCTAGCAAATCTCAAGGGTGATGGGCAGAGCTGCTCAGAATTCATGAAGCTGATGACTTTGCAATAAACCCTGGAAGGGAAAGTCTGCTGAGTCCATGCACCCAGATTCCTGAATGGTACTAACAAGACGCTGTTTTGAGAGTGAAAGAGGAAAGGCATGAACTAAGGACTATACTTCTGCCTCATTTGTATGAACTGCCTGCTGTTTGAGTTTCTGGAAACTTCCTGAGCCTCAATTTATTTAATTGTAAAATGGGATCGACACAAGGTAGCCCTATCCACTCCACAGAGGTAGGAAATCCCGCTGTCAGCCTCCAGCCTCAGCCCGGTAGAATAGCAAAGTGCCTGCTTCCACAGATTACGAGCTGATACTTGTGAAACACATCAAGTTGGAGCTCAGTATTTGTTGAATGAAGCAGGACTAGACAGTGTTTTATTCTGTTGTACCCAGGATTGCTATGACTGCGAACCAGCTCGACAACACCTAACCACACCAACAAAATCTTTGTTAAATAGTCAAAATAATTAGGATGGCAGATGAATGTAGGACTCGTGTTTTACCAATTGGCCGTGACTCAATCCCAACCCATGGAGACCCCACGTGCACCACTTATACTCAGATTTATATCACATGCAAGCTGAATTTTACTGAAGATAAATAAAAAATGGCTGCAACAGTACATCAGCAGGGACCTGCCAGAGGTTCAAGCTGGATTCAGACAACGATATATCATGATGGATATAACTGCTGATGCCAGATGGATCTTGGCTGAAAGCAGAGAATACCAGAAAGATGTTTACTTGTGCTAGAAATGATATTGTTCGATGTTTTCTGCATTTCATCAGGTCACCTCTCTTTGGAATAGGCGCAAATACAGGTCTTTTCCAATCAGTTGACCACATTTCCTGGCATAGGTAAGTGAGTGTCTCCAGTGCTCAATCAGTTTGAGAGATTTCAGTTTGTATTCCTTCAATTCCCAGCGCCTTGTTCTTTGTCAATGTCTTCACTGCAACTTGGACATCTTCCTTGAATAGCATTGGATTTTGATCATATG